ATACAAGTATCATTAATGGTTCATTTGTGAAGATGAAATGTAGATATCATTTCCCTGAAGCTAACCATATGCCCACTTTTCATTTTCATTAACCATGTGTTGAGAACTGACTTATATAGGTAATAGAAAAAATGTTAGAGGTATAATTGCAGTATGAGTCGATACATATCCCATATGCGTCGACTCATATTAGTTACAAAACAGGGGATGAACCGATACAATGCATTATGCATCAATACATATTGTTATCAAGACACATTACAGAGATAAAAATGTGTATGAGTCGATGCAAAACACAAATGAGTCGATGCAAAACAAATATGAGTCGATGCATAATGGATACATACTGAATTGGTTTTGATTCCGGGAGCAAAAAAATGATATGTATCGATGCATAAGGGCGTGTGTTTATGCAAAACAGATATGAGCCAATATAAACCATTATGTATCAATACATACTGAGTTAGTTTTGATTTCCAGGGGCAAGAAGTGATATGTATTGATGCATAAGTGCATATGTCAATGCATAAAGTTTTTTTTTAAAACAATTTTCCTTCCTTTTACATTATCTTTATATTTTTTATATATTGTTATTCAATATTCAATATGGTTGTAATAGAATAATTAGAACTTTATTGCTTTCATCCCACATTCATAAACTTGTATCCCCATCCCCAAAATGATGTAATAGTGTAGAACTTTAAATTCCCGCAATTTATCGCTTTCAATACAAATGCTAGTAATTAGGTTTTGTATGGCAACACATAAAATCAACAAATAGAAAACCCTAACTCAAGACAAAAATGCATGAAATCAATACAATTTGCACACTTGCACCTCTAGGGTTAACCCACACTTGTTGCCTTAGAATAAAATAGTCATGTCCCTCAAACATGGAATACTTTAGCAATGACCCTCGAACACAAGATCATAGTCCCTCGATGACCCTTCAAATGTTGCCTTCGGTAAACGATCTTAGAACCTTACGACAAATTGCTAAGGTATACTACAATGTTGCTTTTTATGACTGTACGCCGACCCACGTCTGTCCCTTTACATCCAATGATAGAGCTTCTTATCAATCAATGGTAAGTTAGCAATATCTAAAGGAGGAGGAAATGAACAAAGACTTTTTGAGTATGTAGAACGCTCGTAGTTGCTTGCTCACAACCATTTTCAAAACATCTTTCAAACACACCAACATGTTCAAATGAAACATTTTCAAAAGTCAACACTTTGTATACATTCTTATAGAGACGAGAATCACTACAAAGTCCGCCTACACAAAGGCACTTTCTAAAATACTTTCAAAAACATCACAAACACATTTCAAAGTGAACTAGAAACTAAGAGCCCATAGATAACTACGGATGAAAAGGGTGCTAACACCTTCCCTTTTCATAACCTACCCCCCGAACTCAAGAAAATTCTCAAAAGGTCTTTGTTGTTCTTTTCACCCTTTCCTTTATTGGATAAAAGAAAATTCGGTGGCGACTCTTGCTATCTGCAATAATTGCGTTAAAATGCAAAACACCCAAGTCAGTTATCCCAACGTATTACACACATACTATACCACTTTAACCACTCGTCCGCAACCTAGCAGCATCAACCACCATCATGGCCACTCACCTCACGTGAGTTGGCTCCCTAAATACTCTCAAAAACCACCAGAAAAGGGATACTCACTGTTGTGGGCTAACCCTCATCTATTTTGTGTAATATACCTATTAGGGCCTCTAAGCATCCATGCCCTTGTAGGGAGAACACACACACACACACACATACACACACACACTTATACTGTTTTTGGATAATACAATTGCATCCACTGCGGGGCTCAATAAAACTAACCTGAGCCACACCTTCCACTCTGACCATATCATTCCTTGTTTTCCTCTTTTTCAGGAGATGATTGATAAGGTCCTACATCACACATCAAACACCATTGCTAGAGGAATCTCTGGGAGGGGCCTCTCCAGGTTCGCTCGACGGAGATACGTGAGGCAGGTACTTGCTGCAAACATGATATCCTTCTTTTTTCCCTCAGAGCACCACTGGGTCGACAAAAGCCAACATCGTATTTTCTAAAGAGGATGCCCTGCACATTAATCCTCGTGATAATGACCCTTTGGTCATCACCATGTGACATGGAAGCTAGGACATCAAGAACATCCTGATAGACCCAGACAACTCAGTTGATGTTATGTTTTGGGACGTCTTCTAGAAGTTACAATTGAACTTGGGCAACTTCCAGAAATTCATAGGCTCCATGACAGAATTATCGGGGGAACAAATACAAATAATGAGCTACATGGCCTTGAAAACCACCTACGACGAGGGAGTTAATGCCAAAACTATCAACGTTAGCTACCTCATCATGAACATTGTATCGCCTTACCACATCATCCTGGGGCACCCAACCATCAACGCCCCGAGGGCGATCATATCCATCCAATATTTAACCTTGAAATATCCACTCCTAAGTGGCAGAGTAGGCACTATCCGAGGGGATCAACAAGCGGCTCGAGAATATCACCTGAGCAGTCTGAAGACAGCCAGATAAGAGCTCATACTTGTTGATTCCCATACTTCTGAAGTTCCAAATACCGACTTTGAGAGTTGGGATCCCAGGTTAAGCGCATAGGCGAAGCGACTCACGCCCACATAAGACTTGAAGGAGGTCCAAATAAGACCTCACGCCCATTTTATTTTAATTTTGGCTCACAATAAGCGCTACCTTCTTCTAGCACAAAAAGGAAAATAATTATAGAGCGTTTTAAAGAAATGTCAAATTGACTCTTCGAATGTGATGACTTACTAAAAAGGATAAACCTTAACAACGCTTCAAATCATCTTAGTGAGACACTCAAGTGTTTCAGTTCCCAAAGATTATGAAGATACCTACAAAAAGACATTTGAAGCATGAGGTTGAAGTGTGAGGCACATTAAAGGCGCAAATTCTCAAGAAACAATAATGTATTCTTTTGGTTTTTCCTTTAAGCTAAAATAATGATCGACGAATGAGGCAAATACGACAAACCCTTGCTCTAGAATAACCATCGGCCGACCACGTAAAGGAAGCCATGATTCGCTCAGATTGCTCTCAGCATCAAGTAATTACCCTATAGAATACAAGTGATCTAGGGCCAAGATACATCCAACAACTCCCTGCATCCCACATCTTGAGAATAATAGGTTGTTATAACCGCTCTATTATATAAAGAAGAAACGGGAAAAATTTCAGGTACACAATTTCAATTTCAAATTTCATTCAATCTTCTCCTACACATACTAACTTGAGCGTTAAAGTGGTGACCTTGTAGATTAGTCTCTCATCCTCTACAATGATGATCAGATCCATCATATTCCACCACGACCATCGACTATCCAATCAATTATAAATGTATTATAACCGCTCTAACAATGATATATATATATATATATATATATATATATATATATATATATATATATATATATATATATATATATATATATATATATATATATATATATATATATATATATATATATATATATATATATATATATATATATATATATATATATATATATATATATATATATATATATATATATATATATATATATATATATATATATATATATATATATATATATATATATATATATATATATATATAGTACTTAAGTAGGAGGATTTTAAAATAAGAGATAAGAGGATTAAACACTAACCATTGAATTTGATAAATAATTTTGATGAAGTCATGATAATAAATGTTCATCAAAATTATTTATCAAATCCAATGATTAGCATTCAATCCTCTTATCTCTTATTTTAAAAACACTCTTACTTAATATATTTTATCTAATTCATAAGATACACACATTTTACATACTTTACTTTATCTTTTATCATCTCAATTATTAATTTTGACGATGAAATACTAATTTTATAAGTGTATGTCCGTATTGAACACTCCGAAGACTTATTTCTGCTTGCCAAAAATCAACCACCTCAATTTATTGTTGTTCAAGATACAACAAATATTATTAATAACTAATATAATTATTAAATAATTCATATTAATTTAAATAATAAATTTATTAATTTTAGTATAATTTATGGATATTTTATTAACAAACTTATTTTAAATTGTTAATGTAATTAAAAAAAAAAAAGTGAAAGACACTACTTGCTATTCCACTTGACGAGGCCTTCTTATTGGACTCATTTTATCTTTTTAAGTAGTATTTTTTTTTAAAAAAATATTTTTGAAAATATAATTAAAGAGTAAAATAAATTTTGAACTCACAAAAAAATACTTGTATAAAAATTAATATAATACGTAGTTTTATAAACAATTAATAACAATTTTTTCATTAATAAATTTTTTTTTCTTTCCTTCATTATCACCACCATTCTATAATATCAATTAAAATAAATTTAAAATTTTGATTTAAAATAACAACACTGTATATTGTTTACAAAAATATGAATATAAGTGTGTTTGTATGTAAGTATTTGTCGAACTCGCGATGTATTAGAAGTCATTGATTTAGAGTGTTTTGATTATTAATTAATTATTTAAAAATAAATGATTTTCTAAAAAAAAAATCCGCATTATATTGTCATGTAAAACAAAATAATTCTATAATTCCTTAAATTCATTTTTCTTACTAAAAGAAAAAGATAAGAAAAAGATAAGACAAATATTCAAATAGAAGAGAGCAAAGATTTTCAGATCTGAACAATGTTTAACTCCCACAAAACGAATAAAAAATTTGTTGCGCCCACAACAACACAAACCATCATTAAAAGTCTAACGTTAGCATTTTTCAAACAAAAACAGTAACTTGTTGGAGCCAAACGGCTTTAAAACTTCTCACATGTTCTTCACTCTCTCTCTCTCTCAAAGGGTTGCATTCATATCACTTTCTTTAATTACTCTTAATTGACAACACCATCATAAACATTCTTTCTTCTCTTTCCAACTGTGAAAGAAAGAAGAAAGAAAATGGGTTGTTTTCTTCAGTGTTTTGGTTTATCCACTAAAAGAAAACGCAGAAAGACTCTCTACAAAGTCCTAGCTAGAGAAGACCAAGTAAGTACATACTAGAACAACCCATTTTCAATTTCTATTCTTTGATGCTTTGTTTTTACTAATTCAGTAAAAAAATGTGATCTTTTTGCAGAAATATGGAAACTATGAAGTTCTTGCTATAACAGAAAAAGCAATTATCCCTTATTCTGAATCCAGGTTTGTGTTTATTTATTTCTCTTTTCATTTTCTTGAATGTATCAATATAAAGATTGATTCTTTATTTTATCTGTTAGAGGTAGAGATCAAGAGAAGGAGAAGAGTGGTGTTAAAGCCAAGAAGAAGAAAGTTAGCTTTAATTTGAATTTACAGATATATGAGGCAAACCCTAGTTCTTATCAGGTGTTGGAGAATGAGGAAGAGGAAAATAAGGAGGCCATCTTGGGAGATGGATCTGAAGTGTTGATGATTCGATACCCATCGAATCATAGGTATTATAACTGTAGTTATGATCAGGATGAAGAGGATGAGATGGTATATGAGGAGTCTGATATTGATGATGAGTTTGATGAAGAGTGTGATTGGGATGATGAGGGCTATGAAAGTTGCGAGGATTATAGGGTTGACGAAGTATGTGATGAAAATGGAATGAAGAACCAGAAGGTGATTTCTTCAAAGGATGCTGAGGTGAAATTGAATTTGAATGGACGAGAGAGGAGCATAAGCATGAATTCTGTTCTGCTTCCGGTGGAGAATTTAACTCAGTGGAAAGCAATCAAAGCAAAAGTTATATCGAGTAAAAACAGGAGAAAGGAAAATGTTCCATCGGAGGAAGATACAAGCATGCTGCCTTTAGTCTCACCTTGTATTTTGGAATCAACTGATCTTCAGTCGAAGCCTTTGTTGAAAGAAATCGCGGTTGATGCGAGTCTTTCAAACTGGCTGGTTTCTCCTAACTATAATGTTTCCAGTACAATTCGTTGTCAATGATGCAGCAGAGTGATTGAAGAAACAGAAACTTAGAGAATATTAATTGGTGAAGAACAATATAGTGTGTCAATTTTTATGCTTCTATTGATTGGATTATTCATTAAGAAAATAGTCTGTCAGGATGATTTGATTGTGTGTGTGTCTAATTTGTGCATGTAATTGTTTTGTCTAATTTGATTGGATTAATGTTTCCACCTAGTTATGTTGTAATCAAATCAAAGGAGAGTGTGTTTGTCGCTGTTTATGTCTTCATGTTGCAGTTATGCAATTTGAGGTGTTCTCAAATCTCATGCTCATATTGATAAATTTTTATCTTTATTTTATCTTTACATATATTCTACTACTAGGCTATGAAGCACAGATACAGAAATGACACTTGAACTGATACTGAGACATCAACATCAGTAATAATTTGAAAAAACAAATAAATTGAATGTAATTACAAGTGTCGGTGTCGGTGTCGGTGTCTGACAGGAACACTAACACTATTTTTTAGAGGTGTCGGTGTTACATAGCTACTAGGCAATGTTTGAATCAATTAAAAGTGGTTTTTTGTGTGAACAATCAAAGAAAAAATAGGTTGATATTCGAAAGGTTTTAACTGTATACAAACTCCATGTGCACACGCCGATTCTACAGCAATGGAACAGACAGAACCAAGAACCCTTGTATTGTAGCAGAATTACCTGAGTACAAGTCTTGTCATGAAAATTCATTCTGCACATTAAGTAACTAGAAAAATAAACAGAAAAAAGACCGAGGTACCACCTCTTCCATTTACAACATGAACAGCAATTGAATGTCAAATACTTAGAAGCATGAGAATGCTCATTTAGTTTTCATACACGGAAGCCGTGCTCCTATCAGCACTGTCCTAATCAAAATTGATGGATGCCACGTGTTTACTTTGATGTTCATAGAGAACTTGGCAAGGAGTCCACCTAGATCCAAACAATGGCAATCACAAGGAGATGTTTGTCTTGGTTATTGGAGAGAGTAAGTACAAATCCTTATATTAGCGCGTCAAATTCCAGCTCTAGCAGCCTTTGTAATATTTCCCTTCGATCTATTCAGTTTGAAGTTTGAGACAGGTTATCAGGATCATCTCTACATTAATGAGCAGATACAAGAATCGTCATCCTCCGAGTCACTATCATCACTGCATACACAATAGGGTGACCAATTGTAAGTTTATCACTTATAAAAACATTGACATTGTAGGAAATGAATCAATCAATCATAAGGTGTATTGCATTCCAGAAGTGTGTTGACACGATAACATTCCTCTTCGAATTTCTTTGCTATAATGTATCCCAAGTAGGCAAGAAAGCGCTGTTTTTTTTTTCCACCAGCATACATAAAAGCATTGACTATCAAAGAAAAAAGAACTGATGAAATAGGTTCTGTTATAACAAAAAAGTTTTGCATTGGTCACCCCAAGTCAGACTACTTCTAGGGCATATCTTCCGATCAATGTTCTTAAAACTGAACATCAACCGATGAAATCTTTGGATCATGGTGCAACCTCTATAAACTGCTCGAATTATGACAGAACTGTGATTGAACTGTGAAAATAACCGAATCATTCTAAAGGCTATCCCCTTGTTTACTTTCTGCTCTTTGTTTTCTCCCACAGTTTCAATCATAATCACAGGTCTATCAATTTTAACAGACGCATTGAGTTTTATTTCGGTTTGTTCACAAACTGCCGAAGTTCTTTTTCTCCTAACATCTGTCTATATGATATGAACCACAATAAGCAGAAATGTTGACCTATAAATCCTTCCTCAATTTAATTAGTGTTCTATCAATTCCTTCAGAACCCACTCAAACAGAATTGAAAAGACAACAACAAAACAAACATTGGAATTGAAAGAAAAATAATAATTAGTACATGGCTGTAATGAAACAAGACAAAAATTACCTTGGTTCATATTCCACCACTTCAACAAGCTTGTTTCCAATCATATCGTTCCATTGCACTCTCTTACTTGTCTTATTCTTATTCAATTTCCGTGACATTCCTCCTTTTCTGGGGAGTGTCGACAAAGAATTCGAATCACTATCATTTTTTCCATTTACATGATCTTCAACCTTTTTACAATCCATTTGCAAAGAAGCCATAGCCACAGCCAAAGGCTTGTTCACACACCCATTAACACCATCCTTCTTAGACACAGTATCCATCACATCAACAAAAACACTTCCAAAAAAAATTGAAAAATTCAACCCTAAAATCAGGAAAATCTACAAACTTGAAATTAACCCATTTGATCTAATTGGCATAAAATCACAACCCAATTTTTAAATTCCTCCAAAAATTACAATTTTGGAGGAACCAAAACATGGGTTCAATTCAATTCAACACAGAGAAAAAAACAGGGGAAACAGAACAGGAAGATTTAACCCAATCCAAAAGAGAGAGTGAGAGAAAGAATGAGGAAAATTTGTATGGTTGGAAACAATCAAAAAACAGAATCTAAATTGATTCACGTAGAGTTTGACACGGTTGAGACAGAACAAACTTTTCTGGGAATTTAAGAAAAGGGAAATAAAATTCACCACACGATCTAAAATAAAGGATGGAACAAAGATATTGATGTATTGTACTAGAATACAAGAAGTGATGATGAGGAATGTGCGTTTACTTTTGTTTTTGTTGTTGTTATGAGAGGGGTGTGGTATTAAATTTCATGCTCTTGATACTCATTAATTTTTATAGTTGTTGAAGATCAATTTAATGAATGTTTGTCTTGTCAATTTTTTTAAGAAAAATAATTGTTTTTATGGTCAGTTGCTATGTGGACAAGTGAGGTTTTTTTTATTTTTTATGGGAGTGGACAAGTGAGATATTTGTTCGACTATTTGTTTCTGATTTATCAATTTGATTATTAGATTTAAATGAAATGTATTAAGATGTTATAAGTTTTATTTTTAAATTTTGGTTTTTCAATTTGTTCTCTCAATTACAGTTGTGAAAGATTAAACCTGATCCTTCCGATCAAATTTAAGGACAATCACTTTTAAACTAACTGACAATTGATAAAGATTATAAGTTTTAAATTACTATTAAACACATTATTGTTAACTTAATTTTTTTATAGAAATAATTTTGTCATTATTGTAATCCTATTTGATTAGGGTGTGCAATAAATATTTGTTTAAAGTGAAGCCCTCACAAAAATTAAAAAAATCAAATTATTTTTTGAACCGAAGGGAAATCGTGATATAAACGTAGCGGAAAACAAAAATATTCTCTTTAATTGATTTTTATAAATGATCATGATCTGTGATAGAAACAATTACTTCATGTGGAATTTTGATGCAAAATTGAAGTAATGATCATAAACGTTCACGTTTAATCTCAATGTTATGTGTTACGAATGAAGATTTTGAATGAGAGAGAAATAAGTTACGGCTAGGGTTTCACAAATCAAATTTCATAAAGTATAAATTTGTTTGCACAAGGATTCTATTTATAGAATTACTTGTGTAGACTCTAAGTTAAAAAAACCCACTTAAGTGCGCTAATGTACACTAGTGACAAATGATTCTCATGATTTATAATAATATTAAACAAAATAATCAAACACGTCACTAGGCCAATGTATATTGGTGACAGAAAGTTCTCATAATTTATAGTAATATTAAACAATTCTGAATTTAAAACAAATTTTTTTTGTACCAATGTGTCTCAAACCCAGATCATTCACGTTAATTGGTAGTCATTGTACCACTAACTAATGTTTTTCTTATTTAACTTAATAATTCAGAATAAACATTTACTTATTTAGTTATTTTAAATAACACATAAATTAATATTTACTTATTTCAAATGATACATAAATTTTTTTAAAAAAATAAAAAATAAAATGTTCAAATAGAAATAAATTGGGCCAACCAATGGGCCAAAATGGTTCAGACATTAAAAACGGCTTCCTTCATAGCCTTTACCATCGAAAGATTCGAAATCTCTGAGATATTGTATTTGTACATTTATTATAGCTATTGTTACTTTGTTTTCTATTTTGCTTCAATTGTGTGTGTTGCTCTTATGCTTAGTTTATGTTAAGTTTGTTCTCAAAGTGTTTGATGAAATTCTCCAAAAAAGTTTGGATGAAGGAAAAATATTGATGAGCAAAAATCTAACAGTGGTTGTTACAAATCAGTCTCTTTTTTTCATACAACAAATGATTCATTCACAGATGATAAGTTTAATCAATATCGAGAGTCTGTATAATCAATCTGTATGGTTCAAATCTAAAGAAATAATTTGTAACCCAGATAGATTTAAAGATTGTAGCTTATAATCTCACTTCTCATTTGTGAAAGAAGCTTGCTTTATTGTTGGGATTAAGGAATTGAATTCATAATATTCTATTGGTTTCTAATTTCTCTATGTTTATTGAGGTCCAAATCTGGTTGACTTAGTTATTAGTGTTGGTTTTAGAATGTGGATGAAAAATGTCTTAACATAATATCTTTCAATATGCTTGTACTTTTCCATTTTATCTAATGACTAATGTTATTTATTGTCCAAAAAAAATTGTATATTATTATCGTTGCGTTTTTACAAATTATTTTATGATATTCACTGCCACATTCTCAAGACAAGACCTCTGGTTAAGTTGGAAGAGATTCATTCCATGTCATCCAAATGCTCTTGGGGTATTCTCTTACATATTTTGAATCAAACATATATGTAAAACAAATTCTTCCCCTCCTCTTCTCTTCATTTGATACAAATTTCTTTCCTTCTCTTTATATGATTGAAACAAACGGATTTTCAAAAGTATTTGAATGAGATGATAGAAAAATTGTTTAAACTCTGAAATGATAAAAGTATTTTGAATTACAAATTCTAAAATTTTGATCATTAGTTTATTTGCTCAATTTTTTATTTAATATTACAAAAACATAATTAAGGATTCAATTGTTAACACAAATACTTTTATTCTATTTAATTTGTTTTCAATTCAACAGTTTGTGCGTGAAACTAGTTTATAAACATTAATAAGTCTTTACCATTAATCGATGTGGAAATCAAATAAAACATTCTGCAACATGCTTTTATAGAGCTATAAGTTGCCTTTAGACAAGCAATCTTGAACTCATGAGGAGCTCTTTTTATTACTTTCTTATATGGTAAGGTTTTTCCATTCTCAAATCATAATCCCGTATTAGACATGGATATTCTTTAGACAATTCAATGAAATAATGCGTATCATGATGATGATAATAAGCATGTTGGGCAACATTTTATATTGAACTGAATGAAGCAGTTATGTCGAGTACTGATAATCACGAAATTTATTTGCACTTAAATTCAAAAGGAATAGAAGGTAAGCAAAAATACAACATTAAATCAATTATTCATCAGGTGCGCAAAAGAGATACGAGAAACCTAACACTTTTTAAAACCTGTCTTGCAGTAATCTAGTTTACTTTAAACTTGTCTTGTATGTGTTTATTTAAATACTTTGGTGAACGTGGCTTTTGTTCTTTTCATGTTTGACTATTTTTTCATGTTAATATCTGATTTAGACTGGATCAACGCTTGCTCCACCATTGGGGAAGTCCAATCCAACACTCTTGCATAAATCATTCTATCTCACTCACTCATACTTACTTGCATCATTTTAAACCTTACTTTAGCATCAGAGTGTCTTGCAGGTACCCCCTCCCATTTCATCTACAACTATTGCTCAACTCATAGTTCATAGGCTTTGACGATCCATTCTGGTCAGGTACGATCAATGGCGCCGTCTGTGAGAATCAAGCTTCCCCGTCTTTAATTTACCTAAGACTAAAGCAACCATTAAACTCTGATTATCACGGCCGACCCAGCTGCCAACAACAACCTAAACGCCCATCTCGCTGACCCCAACAACAACGTCGTCGATGACATGGGCAACACCAACAACAACGGGAACCACATCGACATAACCGATCTCGTGCAGAAATACAGAGATGGCATGACCGCCTCTTTATCAACCCTCTCTCAGCCTCACGAGGATGCCCATCCGCCCCAGAACTATGAGCCGAATGTTTTCCAGGAGGTCCCCGTCCCCACAGGCGTTGACGCCATGACCAGGGCTCTCTTTGCGGCCATTAACCAAACAAATTACTTAATCTTCTCGCAAGGTGAACAACTAAGGGTGCTCGAGGATTCTCACCGAGCCCCCAGAAGCCCTAACACTCTACCTCCCAGTCATAACGAAGGTCGTCCTCAATCTCCCCCGCGGAGACATAGACGAGACGATTACGAAGCCACTCTCCTCGACAGATTGGGAAACACCCTATGTTGGAGAGACCACTGCCCGAAGCTACCAAGAGAAGCGACCTCACCCCCCACACGGGAAACGATGATCCCCTGGAAACAGAAACATGGACAATGGAGAAGCGCATCCTCGACCAAGGGATCCTCCCCGAGGCCAAGGCCATCACTACAACCGCTATTACAACCGGTCCCCATCCTACTCTCCCTACAGGAGCGACGAAGACGACCCCCGTGGTCCCCTACCACAAGAAATCATGGAGGCGCCCATTCTTAAGGTAATGGGGAAACCACCCCAACTGAAGGAATATGACGGCATTGCAGACCTTGTCGACCACATCGACGGGTTCGAGGCAATGCTCCACTATCACAACATCAGGGGACCGATCAAATGCCAGTTGTTCCCCACGACCTTGAGGAAAACTGCAATGGACTGGTACAAAAATCTCGCCCCAAGATTCATCACCTCTTGGAGAAACCTCAAGAACCAGTTCATCAGCTTGTTCACAGCGTCTTGTCGACATCCAAAGACTGAGGGCGCCCTTGAGGCTATCTTCTAAAGAAGCGACGGAACCCTCAGGGAGTACATTGATCGGTTCAACCGCGAGGCCATCCAGGTCTCGTGTATCGATCACATGAAAATATATTTGCTCGAGAGAGGACTCCTCCCGGGTACTGAGTTCAGGAAGGTCGTGGGCATCGAACCATCCCGTACTTTTGATGCTCTGCTTGAAAAAGCTAGGGCCTATATGGACTACGAGGAGCGGGAAACAGCCAATAAAGCCCATGACCTGAGGAATCACAGACTGACCAACACCCTGCAACACCAGGACGCATGTCCTCCTCGACAAACAGGCGAGAAGCAAAGGGATGATAAATCGCGTGATCCCCACGAGCACAGGGGACCCGCATGTCGATTCACCGAATACACTCTGCTGACCGCTTCCCACGAGCGCATCCTGGCGGAGTGCTCAAATACCGACTTCAAGGACGGCAGCATCAGACGTCCTCGACCCGCCCCTGCGAAACCCGAGGCTGACATGAGCAAATACTGTCAGTACCATTGGAGTCACGGGAACCTGACTGAAGACTAAGTCCACCTCAAGGACGCCATTGAAACCCTCATAAAGGGTGGCAGACTTGAGCAGTACCAACGCAATATCGCCCCTCGTTGGGATACCCGTGAGACAAAAGAGGCCGAGGAAGAAACCCGACCGTCAGATGAGGTGGCCCCCATCCAGATAGCTTTCTCTGTGACAAGGCCGAAGGACTTCTACGTCCCTGACAGATACGAGGAAGAACCTATGTCCATGCACAGTAGGTGGGAGAAATTCCCCTCCGTCATGGTCATAACCGGCAGGGGATTCAACGACCTCTCTATAAACTTCGCGAAAAGAACGCTCGACGAATT